TCAGGCTGACGTAGGGGAAGTCGCGCTGGACGAGCTGGCGGACGACGACGTCGAGGAGGGCCTCCTCCTCACGGAGCCCCCGGCCGGTGCCGAAGACGGAGAGGTGTGCCCCGCGCGCGGAGTCGAGCCGCTCCGCCATCGCCCCCAGCCGGTCGGCCTCGAAGCTGACGACGTCGCCGACGAAGACCGCGGTGGGGAGCCGCGCGTAGGCGAAGCTGGCCGCCGAGCGGCAGTCCACGATGAGGTAGGGCAGCCCCCCCCGCGCGGGGTTGGCGGGGAAGCTCCCGACGAGGTCGGTCCGCTCGAGCGGGAGGCAGGGGAGGGCCGCGTAATAGCTCTCGAGCTCGCGCGGGGGGGCCGACAGCGCCCCCATGTCCGGATACAGCCCGAGGCGGAGCACCCGCTTGGCGGAGTCCGGCGTGTTCCGCTGGAGCAGCTCGGCGTTCTGCAGGAGGGTCCTCCCCGACCACACCGGGACCGGCGCGACGCTGCGGCCGTCGACCAGGCGGGGGTCCAAGGCGGCCGCCTTCACCCCCGGCAGGGCCATCGTCAGGCTGTCCAGCGCCCCGCGGAGGACGTCGGGGGCGGCGATGGGCAGGAGGCTCTGGCGGTTCGCCATCAAATAGGCCAGCCCCGCGTAGGGCAGCGAGACCGGGTCGCCCAGGACCAGCACGTAGTCGAGGATCGCCAGCGGCGCGCGGTACTCGTCGCGGACGATGAGCAGCCGCCGCACCCAGCCCAGGACGACCTCACCGATGGGGAGATCGGCCCGGTCGAGGTGGGTCGAGAGGGCGGGGTCGTGGTATTGGAGCATCAGCCGTAGGACGAGGGCGATCGTCCCGTCGTAGGCCCGCGAGCCAGCCGGGATCGCGAAGTCCTTCAGCAGCGCCCGCAAAAGGTTGTAAAGGAGCTGAAGCGCAAGCTGGGCCGAGGCGAGGGCGGCGTCCGACAACACCACCGCGATGAGGTTCATCAGGGCAATCGTCGCCTCATCGGGGGTGAAGCCGATCTGGGCGTTTAAATAACACAGAAAACCTACCACTTCCTCCGGCTCAAGGCAAATGGGCGCTAAGATCGAGCTGAGAGTCAACGCGGCGACGTGATAGTCATCGCCCGCGCCCGCCGCCATGGACGCGAAGGACGGCGGGATCGCCTCCATCTCGGGCTTGTCGTCCAGCAGGAGCCGCAGGTACAACTTCGCCCGTCGATCGCCGGTGAGGAGTGAGGTGAGATTCGACACCGCCATACAGGCCCGCTGGAGGTCGGAAAGCCGGATGGCGTGGTTCAGGTCAAACCCACCGCTATCTAGAATCGCCATCAGCTCCTTCTCGTTATCGCGCTTGGACTTCCGTAGGGTTTCACCAGGAGCAGTCTGTGAGGCTAATCGCCCCTCCTGGGAGGTTGGCTCTGGTTGAATTTCGTTCCTTTCGCCTTCACTCATTATTGTGTAGGCGTATATACAAATATAAATAAATAAATAAATAAATATATATGTATATATTTGCACTTCACTTTCGAAACTTATTGGACCTATTCTCAGTACTTTAAAAAGAAAAACTATAATTCTAAATAGCTATAATTAGAAATTCTTGTAAACAAGATGAAGAGGATGTGAATTATTAACGAATCTGTACCTTGTAATGAAACGAGGGATTTGAAATAGGTGCAACCTTATTGATGCTAGAGCTACAGGGTGACTGCTACATTTAAACAGATATACCCGGGATTTGTTATTTTTTCCACCGATAGTTCTCCCATTCCACCATTTGGAATACAACCTATGGTGTGGATTTTCTGTCATCCCCTGAAAAACCAAGCGTTAATGAGACCACACGAAGAAAAAGCCAGCTTCATATTAATTTATGGTATGGTTTTCTTCATCAATCTCATTATTGGTGAGGGAGTAACCGGTATGCGACGTTTTCAGAATCACCCGGTTCTCTATAGAATAAGAGGCATATGTTTCTCCAGAGGACTTTGGCATCAGCGCGTTGTGAAAAAAATCACATTTGAGAAGTCAGAGGGAGACCCGCGATGAAGGCATCGGGGTCCTTGGCGATCTCAGGTTGTTGTTTTGATGGAGCAGCTGACGATGAGAAGAGTTTTCCTCCCCGTTGAGGGAATTCCTTTTCCAGGAACACCTCATTAGGCACCGTGGAGGGGGTCTTTTCGAAGCCGGAGAGGGTATCGCTGATGCCATCCTCCCGAATGCCCACATGGGTTTTGCCCCAGGAACCACCCAGATTCCCAATATCAATCGACAGGTCGGCTTTGACATATGGAAATGTTTTTGCACACATTTCTAGCTTTTCCTTCGCGCGCTGCAGGATCGGCTCAAGGATATTGCCGGCGGATGCGAAGGCCGTCGAGGTGGTTTGGAGTGTCGGTAAAAGCGCCGGCATCCCACTTTTTAAGTCTCGCTTGAGATCCGAAGCCTCAGCCTGAAGTGCCAGCCTCAGATATTCATAATACTGCTGGAGAAAAGGATTAAAGGTCCGATTCGGTCGTAAAATCTCCTTACCCACCGTCATCTCCTCCACCAATGCGGCCACTAGCTGTTCCTCTGCGGGACTGCACACGACATCTTCGTGGTTGGGAAAGTTGTAAAGGCTCACATCATCGGAAAAAGGAAGTTGACCAAGAAAGAGCGCGTCTCTTTTGGCATTTGAAGACGCTATACAAAGCCCCAGAACCGGATTCGCATCGCGGGCGCGCACAAACCTCACCATCATCGCTTTTCGGGACCCCACCATTGCTCGGACCAGAGCGGAAAAGGCCTTTTGCCCGACATGATCCCCCGCCAACGCCAAGATGACTTTAACCCCACCCATCATAAGATAAGGCGGGATGGCGTCCTGGGGAAGAAACCCAAGCGCCTCGAGGGAGCGCATTCCGCGCATTTTCGCGGCGTCTAAATGGGCCTCGGGGATTGGTATTCGGCACTGGCCATACCGAAAGGCTTTCACACAATCCGCCGCGGCGACGACCTCGCCGTCTGCGCCTCCGTTCAGAGCACGGCGGTACTCCAAACTCGAGGTGATAGCCTCGCCGGTTGGGGCGATGCGTTTGAAGATGGGCGGTTTCGCCTTTCGCGTTTTGGCAAATATCTGCGTCGCGATGGAAATGTCCCCCACGGCCAACACGACTTTGAGAAGCGGACGTTTTGGGAGCAAATTTCGACGCATCCTCTTCTCCAGACCCTCCATGGCGTCCTCGAGGGCTATCACCCTACTGTGCTCCCCCAAAGAGGCGCAGAGGAAATGCAAGACGAGCTCATTCCGCGCCTTCGCGCTGAGCCCGTCCCATTCGTTTTCGTCATATTCCCCGTCTTCGCGGAAATCCACCCCGATCACGACCAGCTCGATGGCGTTTTTTTGCAGGCCTTCCAACACGGCGTAAACGTCTTCCTTTCGGGCCACCTCGTCCTTCGCGTCGGTGATAAAAAA